TAATTATGAATGTAATGTGTATTTGTAATTTGGACGGGTTTAAATTTATTTTTGTTGTAATTTATCAAATATGTTACATACAATTTTGTATACGTATAATAAAATGTATCACTTTAGACAACTTTTTGTAAAACTAAAATATCAAGACTTCTCATCCAATTTCCTTAGAGAAATTTTATTATCAAAACAATTGTATCTTTTTAGTAATTTAGTGTTATTTTTGTTTACATTTTTTAAAAACAAATCATTAATTACTTTTTATAAATTAATAATTAACAATTATTGTCAAAATTGTAGGCAATGATTTGTAATTATTTTTAAAATTACCAATAATATTTTAATTATAAATTTGCTAAGCAATCAAATTACTAAATAACTTGGCTGCAAATATAATTAATTTTACGCTAGACCAGCACATTCATCTATCATGAATATGCATTTTAATCATTTGATCTGTTATATAGGTTAATTTTATTTATTCTCCCGAGAATATGCCATAAGAAAAATATTAATTATTTTTTATGTAAAAACAAAAAATCTCTAAATATAAGTTATAAATATCTCAATATTAACTAAAAAGACTTATATTTTATACATATTTGGTCTCATTTTACTCATCAACCAATTGATGAAATATTTGCTTTTTGCGGACAAGATTTGAATTATTGGATATATGTTTTGTATTTTGAAAGTAAAGTATTATATATTAAAAGACACTGAAAGACAATCTTTGAAAACATTTGTCTCAAAAAAGAAGAAGCAGTTGTAATACAAAACCATTTGTTGGAAATATAGAAACTGTGTTTTACTACAAATGCATTAAATATTGATTTAATTCAAAAACAATCGGAAAATTTCTTTCACAAAAGACTTTCCTTTGTTGCCATTATTTACTTTAGTTTCAAATCTTATGATTAAGTGCTTAAAATTATAAAATAAAATTTTTTTTCTTTAAATGTATTTAATATTATATACGACTAGATTTTTTTGCAAATTTATTACATTTTATAATATATATACAAATTTAAATTATTTATTTTGATAGTAAAACTTTTGTTGTTATTTTATAAAGTAATATTATAAATATGCTTTTATTTTAAAAATGCATTTGAGTAGTCAATGTATTAAAAGTATTATTTTGAATATTTTAATTATAATTAATTATAATTTATAGATATAAAGAAAATCTTAAATTTAAAATTCTGTCTCAAATATTTTATAAAAATGTTCAAAATATATATAATATTATATATTGTTATTAATACAGACAATAACCGTTAAATGAAAGTCTATCTGTTGTTGAGATAAGTGTCAGTAATAGTAAAAAGAGTCCATAAAATATAGGCAAAGATAACACCATAAGATTAAAGACATTAAAATAGTTTATATTTAAGTAGTGTTTCAGTCATTTATCATTTTATCTGTTGTTGAGATAAGTGTCAGTAATAGTAAAAAGAGTCCATAAAATATAGGCAAAGATAACACCATAAGATTAAAGACATTAAAATAGTTTATATTTAAGTAGTGTTTCAGTCATTTATCATTATTTAAACTCAAAAAATCGCGTCAAGAATTCTAATTGAATGAATGAAATGGAAATCCTATTCTTAAACCTATTTTGAGTCAAATATTTTCAAAGAAATAAAAGATTTCAATTCCTGTTTCCTTTGAAATATAAGAATAAGACAATTGATTCAATTCACTATAAATCACAATTCATTGAGTTTTTACATATTAGACGCCAAACATTCAAAATGCACTGCATTTTCATTGAATAAACAATAAATAAAATATTTGAAATAGTGTAGAAATATTTTAATTTTAGTTTTAAATACTTGTAAATAAGTGGCATATTTTCAATTATATGATACTGTATTTTAAAACAAACACTGACTGTTATTTATTTATTATTCTTTAAAATTGAAAAATGTTTATTTCAAGATTAAATTAAAAAATTTAAATCAATCAAACAAAAAAATAAATTACATTTTATTTAAAAAACAAAATATAAGCCCTAAAAGAAATTTTACATTCAGTATAATCTTTATTTACTTATAAATATAAAATATTTTATTCATGGCATTAAGTGAATTAAAAATTGTAATTTAAATATATAATTAAATATTGTTTAATAAATTCTGGAATATTTTATTATATGTTTCTTAATATAAAACATCACAAAACAATTTGCCTAAAAATTATGTTACAAAATGAAAAGAAGTGAGAGTTAGTTGAAGAGAGAGTGTGTGTCTCCATCGGGTCGATGTTCGCACGACTGGTGTATCGATCGCTGTGTCGATGGTTGTGGAGGACGTAAATGTGCGGATGTGTTGTGACGGATGTGTGTTTGTGCTGCGATTGCTCGGTTCGAGTGAACGCATACACATATTCTTGAACTACTCCTCAGCTGTTGATGGCTTTGATGGTCTAAATGGCCGCTTTCGACGTCTACTTAACGCATCCCAAACCCAAAACACATTACTTATAATTCCGATCTCTCAGACAATATCCGTCACTGAAATCACATCAAAAATGTAAATAAATTATCGAAACTTAATAACTATAGACTTGAGTTAATTAGTAATATTATACCCAATATATTCATATCATTAAATTTATAATTATTTTTGTCGATTCTGTAACTCAAAATTTATATTATTATATATAAATACTGATATATTGTATAAGTGTATTAATAATATTAATAATTAGTGTATATATTAAATGAATACAATATGTTTATACTTAAGTTGTTAGAAAATGTGTGCCAAAATTCCTGATAAAATTTCAAGAATAATCACTATTTCAATATAAATGTGTTTTAAGAGTTTTATTTAAATATTAAACATTTATCGACCAAATAAACTATATTGCGATCAAAAATACAAATCTATTATAAAAACAATACAAGACAATTGTGAAAGAGATGGCCTATAACTACCACCGAAGACATATGAAGGCACTGCAAGAGGCGTCCAATTCTGCCTCATATAGTGATGCGGACAGCAGTTCCAGTCAAACCAATGTCTCCACCAATCACTGCGAGGAATGGAACCCAAACCAAATCGTCTACAATAAGGTCAGAATATTCATCAATTTTATATAATCTCTTATTAAATTATTATTTCAATTGAATGATGCAAACAGATGGAGCAGATCATAGAGAGAATGCAAGATGAACAATTGGGTGTTCCCGTCCGCACTGTCAAGAGTTTTATGTCCAAAATTCCAAGTGTTTTCACTGGTATTTCCAATCAATGCCTAACAATTAGTGTTCATATATTGAATGTCAATTGCATTCAACACATTTAGGTTCAGATCTGATCGCATGGATGATGAAGAGTCTGGATCTGGAGGACCAAACAGAAGCGCTACATTTGGCTAATCTGATGGCATCTCACGGCTACTTCTTTCCAATAGACGACCACGTTTTGAGGTAAACTAATGACAAGTCCATTGACCGTATTGTTGTAGTGACCGTCCAATTAGTGTCCAGAAAGCGTTGAATTAATTGAAAAGTACAGAAACTCTCTCTCGTTTAGCGTTAAGTCGGACTCAACTTTCTATAGATTCCAAACGCCGTACTTCTGGCCGTCCAACTGCTGGGAGCCCGAGAACACGGACTATGCCGTGTATTTGTGCAAAAGGACCATGCAGAATAAGACCAGGCTCGAATTAGCTGACTATGAGGCCGAGAACTTGGCCCGACTTCAGAAGATGTTCTCCAGGAAATGGGAATTCATTTTCATGCAGGCGGAGGCACAGGCCAAGTATGACATACACTCCATTCACACCATTCTTATGCTCATTCACTCTTCAATCAATTGTTTATTTATCTGTTTTTGCGAACAAACCGATAGAGTGGACAAAAAGAGAGACAAATTAGAGCGAAAAGTGCTCGACTCCCAGGAGAGGGCTTTTTGGGACGTTCACAGACCTGTGGTAAGTGATCGCACGGCTATTGATCGCTATTAAGTATTGTCTCTAATGTTGTGTATCGTTGATGTGTCACCAATAGCCTGGATGTGTGAACACGACTGAGATTGATATAAAGAAAGCCTGCCGTATGAACAAACCCGTCAAAAGCACTCGCGTTAAGATATCCACTGTAAGTATTGATTGTATTTCTCTCATCACAATCGATGTCTAAATGGATGCGATTGAGTGCTAATGAATGTCTGTTACTGTGTGTACAGCACTTGGCGTGTAGTGTCGGCGGCGGTCGTGTGAGTCCAGTGAATGAGGCGGACAAGAATGAAGTGCTGAAGCGTGAGATCGACTCATTGCGACTAAGACTCGACCATAGGATAGGAGGCGTCAAAATAAGTAAAGTCGCCGAATCTTACTCAACGTTTTATGAACAGTGGGCCGAATACGACCCCTTCATTACATTACCCGAACCTAACAAAGGGGTATTGATTTCTGTAATTATTACCATTTTATTACTCTTTCCATTCAAAGCACAGTTTTATACACAAATTCACTAATCGATGGTATTATTCATTTGAATTTTTATGAACACATTAAACGAATACAGTATTTATTTACTGAATATTTATGATATTTAATATACGATTTGTGTATACATTTATGATAATACATAGCATTTACAATTCAATGTAAATACTCTTCAGATGGCATCAAATCCATGGATAAGCGATTCGACAGACTTCTGGGAACTGGAGAGACAAACGTATGTTCAGTATATTTATGGTGTATTTTGCGAAATAAATTAATAATAATTAATGAATTCATTAAATGACAAACACAGGAAAGACGTGCCCTGTCGTCGGGTCAGGCGCTGGGCCTTCTCGCTGAAAGAGCTACTGAAAGACGGCGCCGGAAGGGAACAGTTCATCAAATTCTTAGAAAAGGAATTCTCTGCTGAAAATCTCAAGTAAATGATAACATTTATAACATTTACATATTATTCTTGTGTTTTGTCATAATATTATTAAATTATTTTAGTTTCTAAAGTATATGTTTTGCGGGCAAACTATACAAAGTTAATGAATGTTTGTAAATTTACAATGAATTGTATGCATTGTATTATGAAATATAATTAACTGGTTTATATTTGATTGATTATGGTAAATGGGATTACAGCCAAATACCATATTATCGTTCTTAAGTATTAGTTAATTAGTATAATTAGTATTAATTCTTTTGTTATAATTAATGACATCTATTTAAAGAGATTTTTATTTGATTGATTATGGTAAATGGGATTACAGCCAAATACCATATTATCGTTCTTAAGTATTAGTTAATTAGTATAATTAGTATTAATTCTTTTGTTATAATTAATGACATCTATTTAAAGAGATTTTGAAATTATTTGTTTTTATTATTTTAATTCCTTGAGAGTAAATAACAAAACTTTATTCTCAAACAATCTCTATATTTATTTTCATTATATTATATGTTTTAATATAAAAATAGTAGATAAGTGTCAGCAAATGAATAAAAATACTTTTTATTGCCATCAAAATAGCTTTTCTTCAAAGAAAAATTATTTTAATGACACAATTATTGATTTACTTTTAAATAAAATATTTAATTTATAATAAAACATAAAATACTGCTTATATTATATACCTTATGAGAATTATATAAAATATTTCTTTCATAATACAAAAACTTGTCTACAAAAATAATTGGCTTTTATTTTAGTATAATTTAATTTAAAAATCCATTTAGAATTTTAGGAAATTTATTGAATTAATCGTTAATTTATGTTTTATATAACGTTTATATTATATTTTCTCGTATATATAAATTTTTGATTATATCCCTTTAAAAAATTAATTCAATCAAATCCAAAACAAAGAAACCTACCATGTTAACAACCAATAAAATGATATTATTGATTAAATACTAGATTCTGGGATGCGGTCCAAGAGCTTAAATGTGTTCACAGTCGGGATGTATCACATAAGGTGCAGGAGATATGGAATGAATACCTCGGATCAGGTACAGTATTTATTGAATTGTAAAAAGTGCAAATAACCATCATATCATAATTCTAACAAAACACGACCACATATAACATGATAATAGACGCAAACTGTCCCATAAATATCGACTCGAAGTCGTTTGAAATATCGAAGAAGAATATGGACAGCAATCCCAACAACCGGTGGATCTTTGATGAGGCGGCGGGACATGTGTACCAACTAATGA